AACCTGTAATTTTTTTTAAAACGTTGTCCCACACTAGTATTTTCTCCTGTGTCGTGGATGCGGTTACAAACATACGATCTCACATACTTATACAATTTGTGGATCACACAAAGAGTTGTTCCGTGCGGTAATCGAACCCGCGACACGTTGCAAGGCAGCCAGTTGGCCAGCCACCGCACCAACCGTGCATTCAATCTCGACTATTACATTGATCAACTAGTACAATTTAAATCTATCACATTATTGAAAAATACCAAATATTTAATAATACGTCACAAATTCAATTATATTTATTTAACTCATCCATTGCTTGTTTTACTTTGTCAAAGAAAACGTATAAGCTGTGTGACTACGCAATGGGCAAAACAAGTGACAAATGAAGCCAATGTGTTGAGTTAATGAGCTCTTGGTAAGCCCCGAGCCCGTTGATTTGTGTAAAGTGTAAACTAGTGCGCGGTTGTGAGTACAGGGTATCAGATTCCAATTACCAGGGTTCTAATCAGCCTCGTTTATTAATGTTTACTCTGTAACATTTTCAACTGAATCGCCGTGATTATCTTTGGTTTCAAATCTATACTTCTATACTAATATTATTATAAAGGGGTATTTGTAAGTTTGTATGTAGGGGGTAATCTTTGGAACCGCTGAACGGATTGCCAAAACTCTTTCACTGATAGATAGCTATAATGTTCACGCTACGATTAAATAGAGTCGAGCAGCGGATAACACCGCGCGAGAGTAGCTAGTATTAGATATAGGTACTATCAGTGTCATAAGTGCATGGAGGATTCCAAATCAAAATCGTTTGTACGGCGTTTCATCGCCTTAATTAAATATACCATGGACGACATAGATGGCGCTAGTATACTAGTGGTATTGAAAAATATACATTTATAGTTTTTATCAGATACAAAGTTATTAACTTAATAAATTTTTACACAAATTAATCCTACGATATTTCCAAACCTTTTTAAAGCAAAGCACGCAATAACCAGGATTCGAACTCGGTAGCATAAAATTTACCGATGCCACTAGCCATTAGGCCATTGCGTAACCTTGAAATTGATTGAAATTATCCTACTCTTTATTATTATTGAAGTTGTTTAGCAACTATAACACGATCATAAATCTCAAAACAGTTGAGGGTAATTTAATATTAACTGTATAAAAATTAAACCTTTTTGTTCAATCATAACATTCTTTACTATCTTTGAGTGAGTTCAGTTACGATTTGTTTAACAAGTTTTTAATATTTATTATTATCATGAGTTTGCGTCTAAATATTGATATGGCTACGAGGGCCCAAATAATAGCATTGCATAATCAAAGCTTAAATTATACTGAAATTTCGAGAGAAACTGGCTTAAACGTAAGTATTCTTTTAAAATGACCGTTCGTTATTTATTTTATTGTCCATGGTTATCGATACATGAAAATAATAAATAATACACGTCCCTTACAGGTAAAGACTGCCACTTTATGGATATCTAAAGCTGTTTCAAGAAGAAGGTTCATTGCATCTGGCAGAAGACCTGATATTGACTCAGACCAGCTTCAACTTATGGGGCAAGGTTATGAGGAAAATTACTGGAGCATTGTCATCTTCAGTGATGCAAACAGTGAAAACTACGTAGATGTGCTGAATGACGTCATGAAGATGTGCTAGTGATAACGTTCGTGCTGGACAATTGTCTTATGTGTAATGTTCCATAATTGTGCAAGTGTTTAGTCAGCAATCAGACATACGGATTATTCCTTGGCCAGCGAGATAGGAGAAATAGGATCGATAAAAATGGCGGCTACACTAGTTCTTAGAAGAAAAGATATTGTTGACTATAGGATTAAGCAATTACAAGACCGGGGTAGCTATAATTTATTTAATGGATAAATGTTCAAACGTGTTAGCAGGATAAATTTATTGACTACTTTATAACCAGCAACTGTTATTTACAGTAATGATTTTAATGTTTTACTATATATGAGAAATAAAAATAAAAGCAATATTAATATCTACAGATGCTATTCCAAAATAATAAATTATTTATTTATTATTACTATAAACAATACGTCCCATATCTAATGACGCTATATCCCGGTCTTACAAATGTTATTGATTTAAGGTCTAGCTTCAATTTCTTCCTTGTTCTGGAACGAATACTTAAGCTATGAGCCTTTGTCATAACACGATGCACAAAATGAATCACTTTAGTCACTACTTTAATTAAATTTTATGGGGATGTAAAATAGTTACAGAAGTAAGGTTGCATATTATATAGAAATGTATTATAACATTGTGTTTAAAGCTAACTAATAAATGACTAGCACTTCGACAATTTTATTTTAAAATACTTATTAATCTTATAAAAAGTGAATTAAATAATGTGTCAGTTAGCTGAAAAGTTATTAGGTCAGGGTTTACACTATATAAGAAAGAAATAAATATTATGTTTTAAGAAATAAATGTCTGAAGTTATAATGTCATTAAAATAGTTTTATTTGTTATCCTATATGAGAATTAAACTTAGTATTAGTCTTAATCTGTAAGAAAAATATGTTATTTTTACATTAATAGTTAGCACATATTATAAAAGTTATTTTTATATATTTATTAATATAATTTAATTCTAAAATAATATATATATATTTATTCTTGTTGTCTTTTATAAATATTAAACGTCAAATATTTTATTTATATATTATTATTATTAATTTTATATAAAAAAAATAAAAAAAAACCATTGTTAAAAAACATGAACTTAATTATTATAACATAAATATTATAACATAAAAATTATAACCCGTATAAAATTATATAATTATTATAACATAAAAATTATAACCCGGAATTGAACCGGAGCCCTTTGACTTCATTAATCTACCATACTATTTATCTGAGCTACCGATCGCATTTTTTAAGATGTCGAAAATGCGGGTTAGTTTATAACTTATATTAATGTCTATTATTCATTATTGACGCCATCTTTTAATTGGTTTGCTTGACTTGACTTAGATGGCGCTGTATTAAGTCCTCGAAAATAAGAAAATTAACATAATTAATGTGTATTTGAATATAAATATATTATTGTTTCTTAATAATTATTTGAACCATTAAAAACCTTATTGTGTGCCTCTGCAGTGTAAAGTATTCAAGCTTTGCAGGGTTATTTTCATTTAAAAGCAGCGCCATCTAGTTATCAATGGTAGCGTTATGCAAAACCTGTCAGTCAATAGTCGACCTTAAGCTCTCCATGCATTTTTGTCACCCTTAGTACATTAAACTTTCGCATTGTATGTTAATACTACTTATTGCTTTACGGGTTTTCACGCGCACGTGCCTTCATTTTTTTTGAAGGAATTCTAGATGACGCACTTGTATTCATATTTCCGATCCTATATGATACTTTATACTTTCACTTTGCATACTAATAGGTATTTTACTGTAAAACAGTGAAGTGTTCCAAATTCAAAATTACTGTTGGTCTTTACTATAACACTTTTGTTGACCACAAAGTTGACACAATAGGTAAACAATAGTCAAGCGTCATGTGTATTTTATCTGTCAGTTAAGTGTTTCATCACCAATGGGTTTTTTTCTCTTTATTTATTATTAGGGACTTTTACACGGACGTGTATGCCAGTCCCATCATACCTATAATACTAATAGAATCTAACTAAAACGTAACCTAGCGAACATAGATACTTTGACGGCAGCCTCCGAATTAGGTGTAGATAAAAGATTGTGATATACACCTACGTTATACATATTTAAGTTTAAGTCCTCAAATAATTTTACTCGGTCAGACTGACACCAATGGTAGGCACAGGTGTTCATCAAATATATAATGTAGTATCTACTTCTTACGTTACATGTTTGCCTCTGAGCTATTTTAACCCACTGAGCATTGTTTTATGTATGCATCTAGTAAAGTTTTGAGTATTGAGAATGTTAAAAAAAATATCTAAATAACTCAACCAAAAAGATTGTTAAGTAACAAATTTATTACAAGTTATACGTTTGCATATGCTTCTTTAAATATACGTGACGGAGAAACGGTGCGTGTACGAGAGCTGTACACGAATAGGCTTGACCATGGTCCTACAGAAAATCAGCGTGATTTAACGCCTGCTTTGTGTTTCGTATTGTCTGAGAGGTTTCCGTAGGCACTGTCCTCCTCCGAAATCACTTCATACTGGAAATGCCTTACACCCAAAAGTTTTAAAAGGCACAATCCTTCCCCGATATCCAAATCACCTTATACCGAAATGCCTTATACCAAAAAGGTTGGTAACGCACTCAAAACTCTTTAGTGTTGCTGATGCCGCTTTATATTTAAAAAGGGACTAAAAACCAGCAAACAAATTGAAACTATTTATTCATTTCGTTATTTGGTTTTAGTAATTAATTAGTGTAGTCAGTGTTTTTAGAAAGAACATTGAAAGCGCAATCAATGTTCAGAATGTTTTAGTACTTTTTTTGTATTTTAAGGATTTTCTAGTCTCGTAGTTGTTGTGAAAATTTGCATTAATTAAAGTGATGACTGGCGAGAACTAGTTTTTTTGTATTTTTGTACTGGTTAACAAATTACCCGCCTTTCACTTGAACTTTTCTTAAATGTTTAAGACTTCTAAACTTGTTTTTTTTAGAAAAGACGAATTATTATTTCAGTCGTAAAAGTTTGCTTACAATTTAAGTGTTTTTCACTTACACAAATTTGGTAGTTTCCTCAGTCAGAAATTAATAATTTCAACTTCAACATCCATAAAAATAATTCCACCTGTTACTTATTTTCATTAATGATTATTTTTTTTTATTTTTTTTATATGATAGGACCGCAAACGGGCAGACGGATTACCTGATGGTAAGCAATCGGCGTCGCCCATGGACACCCGCAACAAAGAAGGAGTTACGAGTGCGTTGCCGACCTTTTAAGAATTGGGATTTTGGAACTGGGAAGGGATTGGGGTAGGGGAAGGATTGGGCCTCCGGTAACCTCACTCACACGGCGAAACACAACGTTGTGGTTGTTTCACGCCAGTTTTCTGTGAGGCCGTGGTATCATTCCGGCCGAGCCGACCCATTCGTGCCGAAGCATGGCTCTCCCACACTTCTGTTACTTTTGTCACAATTATGTTATTTGACTCATGAAATAGAACGTTGTTACTTCAACATAAAATGTTATATTTCATACAAAATTCTTATAAATTAGTCATTTTTGATATTTTGATTTAAAATTGAATTTGACTGATTGAAAACCACTCTATTACATAGCTCGTAAAAGATACATTGGTATTTTTCAGGTTTTCAACGCTCATGCTTAAGATGCATTAAAAGAGGAAATAGAAACTATAGGTACTTTTTTCGTGATTGAATATCATTCTATAGCTTTTCCGGTATTGTTTAGGTGGCGTCAGAATTTTAATGACTAAAAACTACCCCTTTCCTTTTCCTTCTTCGAGTCTGTTCGACAGACATCATTGCGCGTGCACCCGCAACCGCCGCTAATAGGACCTAAACCTCCAAATGTCTTTTCTCGCCCAGGGTATGGCGAGGGGTAGTGTCAGACTCTTACTTACTAGGTAATAATCCCCCGTTCCATCTCCTGCTCCAGGCTGAAGCCACGGTACATTATTGCGCTTGAACTACAACTCTGGCTAAGCATTGATCGTGTTGGACCTCATCTGTGGCAGTCTACTGGCTCTTTGAGGCGCACGCGGAACGCTACGCGCCGCACATTCGGGTAATAAAACCCATACCTAAAAGTTAAACTTTAATCAACTTGTACTAAACAACGTCTAGATTAGTTTGTTATGTATCAAAACAATCGATATCCTAATAGAAAATAGGTAAGTTGTTGGAAAGTTGGAGAATCTTTCGAGTTGTTTGTTTAATTATAAAGTTGTGGCGGTTGCAGTGCACCGCACGCCATGGTTCAACATGTTCCTCGTAGAACAATGAGAGTGTTCAATATGTTTAGAGTGTACGGGATTAGATTGAACTGGTATGATAATATGTTTTAAGCACGATAGGATATTAGCCGTTGCTTTTTCATTGCGTATCTAAACAATGTTTTTGCGCCCCCGAGTCTTGTGTTTCTTAAATGCTCGAATGACTAGATTGCTTAAAGGTAGGTACAGTCAGGGGTCAAAAATGCAATAATTGCACTCTACCAATTTTAAAATGACCAAAATATCTTTGTAGAATAGAGTCAATGGTTGAGGACTGCTTTAATTTATAGGATAGAATCTAAATTATTGAATAAACTGGCTGTTAACCATTGAACTTTTACTACAAAGAAATCTTTGTCATTTTAAAATTGGTAAAGTGTAATTGCATTTTTGACCCCTGACTGTACATCAACTCGCAAAGTGTTGTCGTGATACGTTCTTTTTGATCTATCTCTATATATGTACTTATTAGTTTTTTTATGTAGGTACTATTCAGTCTCAAAATAAGTAGTGCAAGTATTACACCTTTTCGAAACCAAGATGAAAATAATCTTTCTGGATCTCCTTCATTTGGAAAACTCGATGGGGACTAACAGCCTCTTACTGACCAAAAACAACTCCAGTGTATCTACTACAGGTAATAGGGTGCTACAGATCCAGCATTATTATGAGTAGTTTCATTCTATAATCAAAATTGATTAACATCCATTACAGAGACAATAACGAAAAGAAAGCCACAAAAAGATAATAAGTTAATCAGAATTAATACTACAAAGGAGATAATTAATTAAGTATTCGTTAAGTATAACAGCTCGTAAGACAATTATAATGTCGGTTATACCCTCAAATTAGCAAACGTTAACTGAATGATTGTCATTCACTGAGCGCCTCAATGGCTCTTTGTTTTAATTGTACGATTGTACGGAATGAACGGTGAACGATACGTGAACATGAATTGGAGTTATTAATTATTTATGAAATTGTGTTTAATTGTTTATGTAAGTAGGTAAGGTGTGATAATAATATTGTAGGTACTGTTCCCATGTCAACATTAACATTCCGTGACATTGCGTTGTTATAGGTACTATAGGTATGTTATATGCCTCTACATAAAAGAGTTTACTTATAAACAGTTGACATTGTATCAGAGAGCAACTACTACTGGATGTTTGTGTACTGTTTATTACTCTTTGTCTACTCTGATAAGACTCGTCGAAAGTAGGTAAAAGTAATGACAATTCTCCGGATTACCTGATGGTAAGCAATCAGCGTCACCCATGGATACCCGCAACAGAGGAGTTACGAGTGCGTTGCCGACCGTTAAGGGGTTAGGGATTTGGAGATTTAGGGGTTGAAGAGGGATTGGAGCAAGGATTGGGCCTCCGGTAACCTCACTCACACGGCGAAACACAACGCTGCGGTTGTTTCACGCCGGTTTTCTGTGAAGCCGTGGTATCACTCCGGTCGAGCCGACCCATTCGTGCCGAAGTATGGCTCTCCCACACTTCATCTCTCTCTCTACCCCATTTTATTGCTGCGTATTGATGTTTTTAAAAATACTTTGCCCCACTTAGAAATATAGGTTGGCTGGGTAAGCTCAAATAAGGTACCGCGACTTTGGCCAAGGCCAGAAGGAGTTTTAGTCAGTAAGAGTCTGAAACTCCCTCTGTTATAGCTCCAAATATCTAGTTCGGCTTTTCAATTAGAATTTTGTATCTTCTTAGCAGCTTAGAGCTGGGTTAGTCAAGAGTACTTTTCTTTCTTTTTCTGTTGCATTGATGCACAAACACACTACACAATAACACAATACAATACAATTGATTTGAAATATTGATATTGAAATAAGTATAATTTTTCAATTCCACTTGTCCAGCGCCTATGGCGTGGTGTCACAGTTTTGCCTGCTTGCTATCGCCATCTCAATCCCATGTCATGACTATTTGTTTCTTATTTTTCTTCTTGTTTTTAATGATTATAAAAGTTAATGATAGGTTATATGTATGTTACTATTTAAAGTGAAATTTTTATTGTATGTAACTTTTATTGTGTTGTTTTTTGATGTTTTTTTAGTAGATTTATTTTAATGTTTGATTTACTTTTGTTATTTTATAATTTTTGTTTTTTTTTTTTTTACTTATTTACAAACTGGTAATTGTTTACTGCTGTCCGTTGGTGGCTTGTTCGTCCGCGAGTCACTTAAGGGGCCTGTAGAATACCAGCGCAAGGCCCTGTCTTGCACATGCTGAACTGGTCCCATTTCACCGCAGACTTGGGACTCTAGTATGTAGGTGGTCCATAAAGTGTTTGTACAGAATCTTATGTGTCGCATGTTTTAGCGTGTGAAATAAAACTTATTTTCTTTCTTTCTTTTCTTTCTAGTACTTAGTAGAAAAAATATTAAAATAAAATTAGTGAAATTTTATAATAGGAATGATGACAGGATTTCAAGTTAATTTTTTTTATCAGTTAGTCAATAAATTGAAAATTGTAAGACCTTTTTTTTATTATTTCGTGTAAGAAAACAAAACTTAGACAAAACGAGAATTCGTTTAGTTGTAATTAAGTATTTTGTGTGTAGATAAGGAGAGGGAGAAAGTTTTTTTAACAGTTTATAAGTATGTGTATGTGTAAACTATATAAGTAATTTAATTAAACAGTGTGATGAGTATTGCAGAAGTCTTCCTATACATGACTAACTTACAATATTCCTAGAAATGTGCTTTGCCTTCTAGGTCCAGTTAGCGGTTAAAAAACTATGAACTAGCTTTTATAAAATAGATATGGCAGCGACTTGATTTTTGTATACTATATAACATATATGTCAACAAAAAGTCACTATATCTCAAAATGACTAGCGCTTAGCTTAATACTGAGGCTCGGCCAACGAAGATGAAGAGTTGATATTGTTTAATTATTTTTATTTAAATCTTATAAACAATATTTTATTTAAGGTAACTATTTATTTACTATATTTTTTAATTTTTCTATAAATAATTTCAAAAAGTGTGCCAAACTACATTTACAAAAAATGGGTGTTACATTAAAATTGCGGTAGAGAAAGAGAGAACTAAGTAGGTAGTTGTAAATACAATAATAAATTATCTTTTTTATCCCAATAAATGAAAGTGTTTTTTTATATATCTTGTTAGGATTTATAGTTACTATAATTAATAAAACTTTAAAAGAAAATGTAAAAGAGTGAGTCATAATGAAACATATTGTTATTATGCATTGATAATTTAAATAGATGTTATTAATAAAAAAAAATACGCATCGAATTGAGAACCTCCTCCTTTTTTGAAGTCGGTTAATAAGATTAGTTGTAGGTATACATTGGAAATGAAAAAAATATGTTAAATTAATCTTAGAAATTTTATTAACACATTATATCGAAATATTTACATTTAAAAAATCGTTTACAATTTACAAATAGTTTACATAACCAAAGAGAGCTTTGGCGCTATTAAGTTCTTAACCAGTTTACTGGGTAAAAATGATGTAAAATTTTAATAAATTTATGTTTAAAATAATACAATAACACTTTTATTACTATCACATTTTAAAATTTATTACTTTACACATTAATCTTGTATTTTATCATTATGTTTAAAATAAATTAAATTAAACAATTACGTTAAATCTGCCAAATCCATTGGCATCTCCTCTATTTGAGTGGAGTAATACTGCTCAATGTCTCTAAGAATAGTGATGTCATCTCCTTTGGCGAAGTTGACGGCGACTCCTTTGCGACCAAAGCGACCTGATCTGCCGATCCTGTGGATGTACAGCTCCCTGTTGTTGGGCAGGTCGTAGTTGATGACCAGAGACACTTGTTGCACGTCAATACCTCGCGCCCAGACATCCGTTGTGATGAGCACGCGGCTGGAAAATTAAGATATCACAAAGTTAGGCATATGTATAAATAAATTTGTTATTCTTGAGTTAAAATATTTTATAACTCGAAGATATGGTCCTGTATCAAGGATGCATGTTAAACTATAATTTCATACACATCACACCTAGACAAGAAGCAACGATTTCGACAAGAAGTAATGATTTTTTGCAAGAAAGAATCGAAACCGCGTGACAGTTAACCACGGAACCAACCGAACCCTTAATGCATGTATAAAGACATTAATTATTTCTGAATTGTAAAAGTAGACGGGGTGACGAATATACTAAATTGTTCGTTAGGACTTAAATCTTAGACTAGAATCTATATCGCTATTGCAGTTTTCTAAAAATACAAGAGATAAAATTAAATTCATATCGAAATTCTAGCTGGTGAGCAAGTAACTACATACCTTTGTCCAGATCGGAACATCTTCATAATTTCATCTCGTTCTCGTTGCGGCATGTCACCATGCATTGAGCAGACGGTGAAGTTGACCTCTATCATCTTCTGCGCCAGCCAGTCGACCTTTGCCCTAGTATTGCAGAACACTACAGCCTGGTTGATGGTCAGCGTGTCGTAAAGATCACACAGAGTGTCAAACTTCCATTCCTCACGTTCCACATTTATGAAAAACTCTTTGATGCCCTCTAGTGTCAACTCGTCGCTGTAAACAAAATTTTAATCTATACTAATATCATAAAGAGAAAAGTTTGAATTGAATAGGCCTCAAAACTAGATAGATACTTGACAGATTTGAAAAATTAAGTATTTCATTATTGTCAAGCTGCACAATACACAAATATAGGGTATAAATTGAGCGAGTGAAGCAGCGGGGCTCAGTTAATTTACTATATAACGGAAAATTGTTGGACTATTGCATTTTTTAACAACTAAATGAAAAAGAGAACCACATTCCAATACATACCGTTTCACTAATATCCTGATAGGATCAGTCATGAATTTTGAAGTCATTTCCAGCACATCGTGGGGCAGCGTGGCAGAAACAAGCACAACTTGAGTTGCAGGTGGAAGGTACCGGTACACATCGTAGATTTGCTTCTTGAAGCCGTTGTTCAACATCTCGTCAGCTTCATCGAGGACCAGCATTTTGATAGATCTGGTCCTTAATACGCGTCTCCGAATCATATCTGTAAGTTAATTGTTAGGATTAACAATTTGAGTTTCTTTTTTTTCTATTGAGCACAACTTAACATTTGTCGGGACTTTTTACAATACAACTAGCAAGCCAGCCAGCAAGCCTCTTAACAACAAACAATATATGTTACAACAATTTTTAAGCCATAAAGCGATTTAGTGAGATTGGGTTCAACCTTTTTTGTTTTACGTGTGGTATATTTTATTTAAACTTCATGCACAATGGGTACATATGCGGACATAATATTTGTATTTGTTTGTAGCCCTTTTACAACACCACTGAGTAACTCTTATCTTTATGCTTATTAAGTGTTTTTTTTTTGTTATTCCAACCTCGTTAATATGTGGTATTTCTAATTCCAATAATTATACTTATCTAAACTACTTGTGACTATATCTAAAATGGGTTTCCGAAAATTAGAAGCGTGTAGGCGGTGCGATACATATGTTTTTATTTAACGTACGAAAAACCGACACTTTTTACAATACATCAAACTCTGAACAGACTTTGTTTTGTATGATCACAGCTATTTCAGAAACAATTATTCGAATAATAAGTACCACGTTTACACACACGATTTTTGTATGTACAAATAATTATAAGGAACGGCTTTCAAAATTTATTATTAATTCCAATAAGAATTTCATTATCAAGTATTATGATGACGATTCCGATGAGTCCTAAACAAAACAGAATCAAGCTTTACTTAGCATAAATCCATAATTAACTAAATATTAAATATAAATAACACTAGAAAAGACCGTAGACCGTTTCAATGAGACCTCACGCACGCGGCACAGGTAGGATAGGACGACTAAGGGGACGGAGAGAGGTGCGGGGGGCGAGCGCTCTATAGTGCATTGTTAACCCATACTGCCAGACACAGATTATCTTGTCAGCACAGGTAGTTTAAAATAGATTTCAATAACACATGTAAAACAATTGAATAGAATTCATTTTACGCTAATTGCTTTTTTTACTTATTATAGATATTATTCGTTCCGTATATAAGATATGAATATTAAAGTTTACGGTATTATCAAACAATAATCCTCAGGAAGAATCTGTTGTATACATAATACAAAAGTTGGTATTATTTACAAAGTTAAATATTACGGTATACTCGAAAAAACAAACCCCCTCAAAATTGTTTGTATACTGGTGAAATACCACATGTAAAGAAAATATTCGTTTGTTAATGTGTAGGTAGTTTCTAAATGGAAGATCTCTTACTTGATTGGTTTGTGATCGATGAATTTTGTTAAAAGAAATTTGACAAGAAATGAAGTGAGACTCAAGTAATAAAACAAAAATCCAAGAAAATTGTGTTACATTCTAAGTGCGGAATTAAAACTACTTATTAAATAACAAGAACAGAAGGAGCAAGGTGAACTACGTACTTATATCATAATTAAAATAATTACTTACCATATACTCGTCCTGGTGTTCCAGAAACCACATGCTGTCCATAGTCCAGCTTCTTGATATCGTTGCCAAGACGTGTGCCACCAATACAAGCATGGCATTGGACATTCATAAAGTCACCCAAAGCAAGTATCACTTTCTGGATCTGAGTGGCCAACTCGCGAGTTGGTGACAACACCAGGACTTGGGTTTCACGTAATCTCATGTCCAAGGACTGCAGGATGGAAATTGATGTGGTCGCAGTTTTCCCCGTGCCAGAGTGGGCTTGAGCTATTACATCTCTGCCTTTCATGATTGGCAGAATACTTTTTTGCTGAATTACCGAAGGTTTCTCGAAACCTACAAAAATAAAATAGGTGATGCATTGCCACGACTAATTTACTATATTTCATTCTACAATAATATGTTTTAATATTTACACTAACCATAATTATAGATTCCGCGTAACAAATCGTCCCGTAAACCCATTGAATCGAAAGTTTGCGTAATTCTCACATCCTCACTCGTTTCAAACTCAACTCTCGACAAATCTCGTGATTTCGTTTTGCGATTGTATGTAACTTTTGTTGAACCCATCTTGTCTTATTTAGTTTTATAGTCCAAAAATGACAACACTTGTAACACACGCACTCACAATTTAACTTATATTTTTTAAACACTTAAATGCTTCACGGATGAGCTTTGGTAGAACACCGTACCCGATGACTCAAGTCAACAGAATGACTACGACCAGCGATGCACTGCGCGAAGTAAACATCACCGGCTACCCCCACCCGTCGACCGTCCAATGAGAGGTGACTGTTTTTTATCACTATCCCTTTCTAATATATTGTAAAAGAAATAGTTATTAATAATAATAATAAAGGTGTCATTGTATAGAAACAATAAGAAACATTTAGCATAATAACGTATTTATTATTTTACTTTTGTAAAATGCTTTTATTTACAAAGACGTGGCACTTGTGTCATTTGGTCCTATTGTTACTTTGTCGCATACATGAAATTGTATTTAAGGGTTACAATAAAATTTAAAATTTAGGTAAATGTATTAAAAGTCGAAGGCGTGTAAAAAACCGAGGCATATTATTAGCAATATCTGGCTAATAAACACAAAATATATGGCTATTATAAGTAAAATATTACGGGAAGTGGATACAATCAGGGATTTGGGAGGGCTATTCGACAAAAACAACACACACACATAGAATTTATTATAAAAAAGGCATCGAAAATGTTAGGTTTTGTGATAAGAAATACTAAGGACTTCAAGCACTGTAGCACTTAAATATTACTGTACAACAGTCTCGTACGAAGTATTTTGGAATATTGTAGTGTTGTGTGGAGACCCTCCATGCACACACACACATAGGCTTATTTTGGAAAGAGTTCAAAAGCGGTTCCTGTGGCATCTAGCTTTCTTAAGGGGAGAAAGCAGGAAACTACCCTCCATACACGTGTGCAATATTTTATAATGCCCACTTTATTCACCCGAATACAAATCATAGATGCTCTATTTGTATATAAGCTGCAATTAATAAATTAGACTGTCCAAATTTGCTTTCCCTTCTTAAATTTTATGTCCCAGCACGATACTCCAGAAATCCCATCAACCTGTTACATCTTCCCCTGCGCAGAACAGTACTAGGAAGCAAACTCACCTATTCGCCCGAGCGAACGGCGCGTACCGTTCCGCGCGCGCCTCAAAGAGCCATTAGACCACCACAGATGGGGCCCTAAAGGGCTGATGTTCAGCCGGGGTTGTGGGGTAAGCGCAATGAAGCAACGCGACTTCAGCACAGAGCAAGAGAAGGAACAGGGAGGTTTTTAGTCAGTAAGAGTCTGACACTCCCTCCTGCCCGGCCCTGGGCGGGAGAAGTCATTTGATAATTTTCCCCTCACAAAAAAAACCCATTCCAAGATTGTGTAAGGTACTAAACAATTGTAGTGATCTGGTCGATGTACACCATGCCAGCTTATCAAAATTCTCTTATATTGTTACCAAGCACTACTCATCACGCTCTTTATTAAAATATTTCCATAATCTAATTAGAATTTTATATTTATGCACTTATTTTAGTGAATTTTAATTGTTAATTTTATTTCAACAGATTTCTGGCACAATGATTGTAAAAACAATTACGCATGTGGTGTTAGCTTGTAAGTAATCGTCGTACCTAATATTTAATAAAAATGTATTGTGTAAACAATTGTAGGCTGACCATAAATAAAAGAAGTATAGGTAAACATATTAATATATACATGTTTGATAAAATTCAGGTTCACCTTTTGAGCAGGAAGTCCAATTACCAAAGTCAAAAAAATTAAAAGTTATGTTAATATGAATAATGTTAAATGAGAATTATTATGGACCTCCACATGCGTAGCTATATGACATGTGTGTATCACAATGATCAAGGCGACGCCTTGTGGGAGAAGCCACATGAGTTTGTACAATAGTAGTAGGTTTCACTTTTAATGGTATGACTGTACAGTCATTCGTATTCAAATATTAAACACCTAAGTGATTAACTTAAATAAAACACAACGTGGTCTCGGTCTAAAAAAATAAATAGACCTATTAGAAGACAAAACATTATTTAAAAAATAACATAAATAATAAACCTTGCCTAATGGTTATTAAAAACAACATACAATTAACCCAAATAGTTATTTTACCGAAACAAGACTTAATCCCTTACAATAGACAATAGCTATTAGAATAGGTTTTAACAAAAACAATATAAAATAAATACCACAAGGCATGTCAACTCAACCTCTTTTTCCCACATTTTAATAAACAAAGCTCAAAGTACATTTTATACATAACTTGTTCTTTGTTGCTTAGTATTGAAGAGACAAGTTATAATGACGTTAACTAGCCGACAAGTAACTACAAAGGAATAAGTTAATTTTAAAATACTTTGGCGGAATACCTAAAGAGGATCAGTCAACTTTAGACTCTACTGTGATAATGTATTCATTAGGTTTGTAAATATTTTTATGATGTGTTGATAAGTTTTAAGGTGTTTTCACGTGGTATTAGAATGTTAAAGGATTTGGGTTCCAATAAGCACGTGCTATTTTCTATCTATCTAAATGTTGTTCCTTTTTAGTAAATATATTTGGATGACCTTTCCTATTAATTTTGTCGTCTACAATGCTTTATTTTCTAAATAAAGCTTTATTATAACTATATAGCGACCCGTCCCGGCTTCGAATGGGTGCAGTGCTGATACCCACTACATTTTTCCACGAAGATTATGTTACCATTATAATAATGCACAAATAAATATTCCTCTCAAAATCTATAAAAAAATTGCATCAAAATCCATTGTGTAGTTTTAAAGATTTTAGCATACATATTGATATGAACAGCATAGAGGCATACATATTGATAGGAACAGCATAGGGACAGAGAAAGCGACTTTGTTTTGTATTATGTACATAGTTATCGTGGTGATTTAGTATGTTTTATTTTTATATCCATCGCTGATAAATATTAAACATTAAATAATAATAAATAAATAAATAAATAATAATAATAATAAAAAAAAGCCTTATATTTCTTACAAAAAATACAAAAATAAACTTACTTCTAATTTTTATCGAGCTATTCCTAATCTATAATTCTAAACATACCAATTTTATAAAATTTACTATTTATGTAAGAACCCCTCGTTCTCGAAGGTGAAGGCCTCCTCTAGAGATTTCCATTTATCCCTGTTCTTCGCCGTCTCCATCCACTGTTTGCCGGCCGCTTGTATAATATAATATCGTCAGTCCACCTGGCAGCTGGTCTACCCCTCTTTCTGGTGCCCGACGGGCCTTTCCAGGAAGTTAACCTGGCTGACCATCGGTTATCTGTCAGTCTAGCTATGTGACCAGCCCAACGCTACTTAAATTTTTTGCTGTGAATCAGAGCGTCCGTGACGTTTGTCTTTTTCCTAATTAAATTATGAGGTATTTTTTGAACTTTTCTAATATTCATCATACTCCTTTCCATTCCTCTTTGGCACCTCCTGATTTTCGCTTTTGCTTGGTGTGTAAACTTCCAAGTCTGGCTAGCGTATGTTAATGATGGTAATATGCAGGTATCCATAACTTTTTGTTTTATTTTCATTGGCATGTCACTTTTCATAATTTCTTTCAAGCTCCAAAACTTTTTCCATGCATTTGTTACTCTCCTTTCTATTTCATGTTCATTTCTTTGCTTTTGAAAAGATAATTGTTTGCCCAAGTATATATAGTTATCGACATACTCTAGTGCTTCACCTTTTAAGTATACAGGAGATTTTGAATAGTTTGTCATAACATTGGTTTTGATAAGATTGATTTCTAGCCCTACCTGTTTACTTGCGGCGTTTAGAGCATTTAGCATCGACTGCAGCTCCATCCTACTCTCAGACAGCAACACAATATCGTCGGCAAATCTTAGAGGACTTATATATTTATTGTTTATATTTAGACCCACTCTTTCCCATTGTAGTTGTCCAACGACTCGTTGTAATACTGCTATGAATATAGTTGGAGAGATGGGATCGCCCTGTCTTACTCCTTTTTTTATGGGTATTGAAGGCCCAGTTGTCTCTAGTTTTATTCTACTGTTACAGTTTTTGTACAAATATTGTAATACCTTCAAATAACCTGTTTCAACATTTTGCGATTGTAGAGCCTCCCATATTGACTGGTGATCCAAAGTATCAAACGCTTTCCTGTAATCAACAAATCCAGCAACACATTAAATAATAACTAAACTTAAAAACAATATTCTTAGTTTTTTTGATAATGAAGTAAAAAAGTAAAGTTATTGAATAAAGTTATTATGACTTAGTTTTAATTCGTTTCAAAAGTTTAAATAATTTACCTATTTTTGAGTACGGAAACTATCCAATTACCACGAATTACAGATTAATGATGGGCTTGATCCCCCACTAACCCGGAAAGAATGAACGAATAGTCGCCATTCTCATAAATGATCGTCGTGTTAAGTGAACTATTATGTCATTAATTGAACGCCTCATTGAGCCTTCGTTTTAATTATCCGGCGCGAGTGTGGATGTATGAATGGATGGCATTGTTGAAAAATTGTGGTGATACTATATGAATGTAGTCGTTTATATTAATGTGTGTGTTGCTTTATAAAAGTTTATTTTTGTAGCTAATCACTTTCAATTGTTAAGATCTAATAAAATTCATTAAATCCATTCTTAGAAAGGGTGCTTTAACTATGTCCTTTCCTACTGTTCGAATAGTAAAATAATAGTTTAATTGGTCTTTAAGTAATTAAGTGATACAATTAATATAATATCGCAGTAAATAAAACACTTAGAAAATGACTCGAAGCCATGATAAAGATTTCAAATCTGTTTAATTATAGAGAAAAAAACAGTGAGAGACGTTTAGAATTTAGATTACAAATAAGTCACGTAATCTATATGTCTTAAAATATTTATACGTTAATTATGTACTCACTGACTTTAAAAAAATAAAAGTATTTGCTGATCTTGTACGTAATTATTAGTCACTGTTTCTCAATATTGCGAGTGGTCGGCCTCAAGGTTGCATCTGCATTCTAA